ACATATTGAATGACAGTGATTAATTCCATTGTTAACTAACCTAGAACTACAAATACTGTTTGGCTATTTGTAATAGTATGCAAATTCAACCTCCCACTAGTATATCATTGAACATAGAGGATAAGGAGCAACCCAAGAAATCTTTAAATTCTTAACCTAAAACAAACTATTAACAGACTACCAAATACAATTACATTAGATTTAATTTTCTGCAGTTGAGTAATTTCTCTTTGGTCTTTTTCCCCACACAGAGCTCCTAAAACCCTTGGAATTTTTTAAGTGATAAGAGTGATAAAGGTGAAAGGAGCAAGTTTTTTGTTATTCATAATAATTCCCTTTCATCCACATCTGAGTTTGTTAATAAGGTGACTTTTAGAAAACCCTTCGGAATGGAGGTTAGTAGGGGAACCAAACTTGTGATAAGATGCTATCTGCACCCCCCTCTTCCCCACCTATGAGGAGAGAAGAGGGGCAAGAGATTGAGTTAATCACTAATAGCCAATAGTTTTAGTCAATCATGCCTATGTAATAAAGCCTCCCTAGAAAACCCCAGCTGAATGATTTGGTAGAGTTTGCTATTTATTTCTTCATCTGGCTGGTCATTTACATCCTTTAAAATATGCTTTTTTTTTGTTTTTTGCCCAGCCAGTGTGGCTCAGTCAGTGGTAGAGTGTCAACCCATGAACAAGGAGGTCACAGATTTAAATTCCCAATCAGAGCACATGCTCAGTTTGCGAGCTCAACCCCCAGTAGGGGGTGTGCAGGAGGCAGCCGATCAATGATTCTCTCTCATCATTGATGTTTCTCTCTCTCCCTCTTTCTAAAATCAATAAGCACACATGCATGCGCTTTTTAATAAATCAAAAATAGTGAGTAGAGAACATTTCTGAGTTTGGCGAGCTGTTCTAGCAAATTATCATACCCAAAAAGGAGGTTATGTGAACCTCCAATTATATCCAGTTGGTCAAAAACACAGGTGACCACCTAGACTTGCAATTGCTGGCTGATGTGGGGGCCGGCCCTGTGGGACTGAGTGGGTGTTGAAGAACTGCCTGCTGTGTGAAACAAACAAAATAAATTTTGTGGCCAGAAGTGTTCTATGAGCACTGCAGTAGAGAAAAACAGAAATGTTTTCCTTCCACTACATAAATAATAAAGATATTTGATAGATGGTGGTAAAAGTTTGACAATACTCAAAGTTTAGGGATACATGTCTCTCTACCACACAAAATCACCAAGTTTTATTAAAAAAGAAAATGTGTATAAATATTATAAAGATCTAAAACAACTTAAACATAGTTCTGGAATGAGATTGTACTCACAAAAATTATGACTCTAATACTAGCATAATTATTCACTTTAGATCAGTTTTGCTTCATCTGGCATAATAATACAATATATAATTAAACATTACAATAATTCTCTCATTCTATAATATACTCAGTTTCACTGTGAAAACTGAAGAATGAGATCCTCTATTCCAAATAGAGAGAACATCTTAATAAAAATTTTATATCAAAGAAAAGTGCAGGCCAATATCCTTGATGAACATACATACAAAAATTTATAAGAAAATATTATCAAAATAGATTCAACAATACATTAAAAGGACTATACACCATGACCAAGTGGGATTTATCCCAAGGATGTAAGGATGGCTCAACATCTGTAAATCAATCAAGAGGATACATCACATTAACAAAATAAAGAATAAAAACCATATGATCACCTCAATAGATGCAGAAAAAGCATTTGACAAAATTCAAGCTCCTTTTATTTATTTATTTTTAAATATATTTTTATTGATTTTTTACAGAGAGGAAAGGAGAGAGATAGAGAGTTAGAAACATCGATGAGAGAGAAACATCGATCAGCTGCCTCCTGCACACTCCCCACTGGGGATGTGCCTGCAACCCAGGTACATGCCCTTAGCCGGAATCGAACCTGGGACCCTTCAGTCCGCAGGCCGACGCTCTATCCAGTGAGCCAAACCGGTTTCAGCAAGCTCCTTTTATTATAAAACCTCTCAACAAAGTATAAAAGAAACATATCTCAACATAATACACGCTCTATATGGCAAAGTCACACCTAATATATTCAATGGTGAATAGCTAAAAGCTTTTCCTCTAATACCAGAAACAAGACAAGGTTGCCCACTATCACCACTTCTACTCAAAACAGTTTTGAAAGTCCTGGCCAACGCAATCAGACAAATAGACAAAAAATAAAAAAAAAGGCATACAAACTGGAAAAGAGGAAGTAACACTTTCATTATTTGTCGATGAAGTGATACTATATAGAGAAAACCCCAAATACTCCACCAAAAAATTAGTCAAACTAATAAATGAATTCAATAAAGTTTCAGAACACAGATACCTATTGCATTTCTATACAATAACAAACAATCAGAAGAAAACTATCTCATTTATAACCATAAAATAACTAAAAATAAATTTAACCAAAGAGGTGAAAGATCAATACTCTGAAAACTATAAGACACTAAAGAAAGAAACTGAAGAGATACAAATAAATAAAAGGATATACCTTGCTCACAGATTGGGAGGACTAATATTGTTAAAATGTCCTTACTACCTAAACAAATATATACCAATATCCCTGTTAATATGCCAATGGCATTTTCTCAGAATTAGAACTGATCCTAAAATTTATATGGAACCACAAAAGACTCCAGTAGCCAAAGACATTTTGAAAAAGAACTAAGTGGGAGATATTAAACTCTCTGATATAAAACTATACTACAAAGCTAGAATAATTAAAATGGTATCATACTGGTATAAAAGCAAGTATACAGATCAATGAAATATAGAATAGAAAGCCCCAAAATAAATCCTTGCTTCAATGGTCAAATAATCTACAACAAAGGTGGCAAGGATATACGATTAAAGATCATCTCTTCAATAAGTAGTGTTGGAAAATCAGAACAGACACATGCAAAAAAATGAAACTGGGCCACTTTCTTGTACCATATTAAAAAAACAAACATAAAAACTCAAAATAGATTAAAGACTTAAATGTAAAACCTAAAACCATAAAACTCCTTGAAGAAAACATAGATAGTAATCTCTTGGACATCCATCTTAGCAATATCTTTTGGGATATGTCTCCTCAAACAAGAGTAACAAAAGAAAAAAATAAACAAAAGGGAACTTTATCAAAATAAAAAAGCTTTGCACAGCAAAGGAAAGCATCAACAAAATGAAAAGCCAGCCTACTGAATGGGAGAAAAAATATTTGTAAATCATATATCTGATAAGGAGTTAATATCCAAAAGATATAAGCAACTCACACAACTAAACCTCAAAAAAATAAACAATGTACTTTAAAAAAATAGGCAGAGGATATGAATAGACATTTCTCTAAAGAGGACATACAACCAGCTAACAGACATATTAAAAAGATGCTCAACATCACTAATCATCAAGGCAATGCAAATTAAAACCACAGCAAGATATCTCATATCAGTCAGAATGGCTATCATTAATAAATCCACAAATAACAAACGCTGACGAGGATGTGGAAAACAGGGAAGTGTCATACACTGGGTGGGACTGTAAATTACTGTGGTATGGAAAGGACTTGTATGCATGCATATAAGCATAACCAGTGACCAGGTCATGTGCGGGGGGTGGGAGTGGAAGGGGGAGATCAAGGGGGGGAAAAGGAGACATATGTAATACTATGTGTAATACTTTAAACAATAAAAAAAAAATTACTGCAGTATGAAAAAGTCTGGAGATTCCTGTTTAAAATTTACTTTAAAATATTAAAAATAGAGCCCAGCCGGCATGGCTCAGTTGAAGCAGGAGGTCACGGTTCAATTCCTGGTCAGGGCATGTGCCCAAGTTGTGGGCTCGATCCCTTAAAACCACAGCAAGATATCTCATATCAGTCAGAATGGCTATCATTAATAAATCCACAAATAACAAACGCTGACGAGGATGTGGAAAACAGGGAAGTGTCATACACTGGGTGGGACTGTAAATTACTGTGGTATGGAAAGGACTTGTATGCATGCATATAAGCATAACCAATAGATACAGACACTAGGGGGGCTGACAGGGACAACTCGGCACATCACACTGTCATTGCTTGTTTTCTCTCTACATATCCCACCAGACTGGGAGCTCAGGGCAGACAGGACGAGCATCTCCAGTCCAGAGGGAGGCTTTATCTGTGGTGAGTGTTGCCCAAAATGCTTGTAATAAAAATAGAGCCCAGCCGGCATGGCTCAGTTGAAGCAGGAGGTCACGGTTCAATTCCTGGTCAGGGCATGTGCCCAAGTTGTGGGCTCGATCCCCAGTGTGAGGTGTGCAGGAGGCAGCCAATGATTCTCTCTCATCATTGATGTTTCTATCTCTTTCTCCCTCTCCCTTCCTCTCTGAAATCAATAAAAATATTTTTTTGAAATTAATAAAACAGTTGCTATACTATCCAGCAATACCATTTCTGGATATTTATCTATAGAAAACAAAAACACTAATTTGAAAAGGTACATGCACTCCTATTCAAACAGATAAATAACATTTTTGACTATTTTTTAAATAATGAAGTTTTGCTACAGATTTTCTTTGGAAAAAAGGTGCCACTACTAAAATCAAATAAACTATCTAAACCACATAATTTAAAAATTTATATACTTAATAACTGTCAGTAAGTTAAAGCTTCAACAAGATTTTGATTTGATTTTGTATTTATATAGAGCTCAAAGCAGGGGTCCTCAAACTACGGCCCGTGGGCCACATGCAAATACAAATATTGTATTTGTTCCCGTTTTGGTTTTTTACTTCAAAATAAGATATGTGCAGTGTGCATAGGAATTTGTTCATGGTTTTTTTTTTAACTATAGTCCGGCCCTCCAACGGTCTGTGGGACAGTGAACTGGCCCCCTGTTTAAAAAGTCTGAGGACCCCTGGCTTAAAGCAATGTTATTAACAATCAAATTTTTCATTTCAGATTAACAAAAAAAGTAAATACCTTACCTAGCATGACTAGATGATGAAGGTGGTGGTAAGTCTGGTGTAAGAACATAGAGACTGTTGTTTTTTGGCAAATGTAGTGATTTTAAGACCGTCTGAAAAAGGAAAAAACAAAAAATGCCTGTTAATTGTGCATTGTTAACTTTTTCCTACAGTTCTTGAAAAACTGTCAATATTGTAGTTTGACTTTTCTTCTTTGGAAAATTTCCTAATACGATAATGCAGAAGAACTACTGAACCCAAATAACCTTGTTTCTCCCATGCATATCATAAATTAGCATGAATATGAATGTTAAAACAAAATACAAATTCTTTAGCTCATAAATAGTGACATAAATAGATAAGAACACAGCTAAGGCTCATTGATGTCTTCATTAAAGAAGTATATCCTTGCAACTGATATGCATTTCATTCTAGGATTGTTATAGCAAAAATTAGCAGTGTAGGTTTTCAGAGATCACTAGTCCTAGAAAAGATCAGAGAGCACCTCAACCCAATGATTTCACAGATGAGGAGCTGCAGCCTGAGAAGTGAAATGACTTAGATGAGGTCCTTTACTAAGTGTTATTTATATCACTTAAGTCACTTAACTCTTACTTCAGAGAATTTTGGTTAAAGCACTCTATCTGAAGTGAATAAATTGCTCTTGGGCTACATCTCATCTAGTATCTTGATAATCCTACAAAATTTCACTAAATTTCTTAAAACTGCATACCTTTCAAACTCACAACTTGGTGGCAAATACCTGCTAATGTACTTCATTTTTTGACAGCAATACAATTAAGAAACACATTTTATATCTTTACATCATAACTGAGGACATACATATTTATTCAACAGATATTTACTGAGTTGCCTCTCTGCCACACCTATTCTAAACACTGAGAATAAAGCAGTGGATAGAACAGCCTAAAACCCCTGATCTTATAGAGCTTAAACTTTAGTACTGGGGTGGTGAACTTTTTTTTCTAGCAAGAGCCATTTGGATATTTATAACATCATTTGCAGGCCATACAAAATTATCAATTTAAAAATTAGCCTACTATATTTGGTCAAATATTTAATTAACTTACCCCTAATGCCTTGGCAGGGCCAGACAAAATGATTTTGTGGCCCTTATATGGCCCACAGGCCAGACGTTCCCCACCCCTGCTTTAGTAGGAATAAATAAAATAATAACTTACATAACTGAGTATTAGAAAGTGATTTTTTTTGTTGTTAAATACCAAGTAGGGAAGGAGGGGTGAAAAATATGGGGATGGGGAGTTTTGTAACTTTGAACTGAGGCTAATGTAAGGGCTCTGACTTTTACTATGAATAAGATGGGAAGCTATTGGAGTGATATGATTGAAACAGGTTTAAAAAGGATCACTTTGCCGTAGCCAGTGTGCTCAGTGGAGAGAGCATCAGCCCACAGACTAAAGAGTTTCAGGTTAAATTCCATTCACATGTAATTTGGTTGCAGGCTCAATCCCTGGCCCTGGTAGAAGTGCATGCGGCAGGCAAACAATAGATATGTCACACTGATGTTTCTCTCTGTGTCTTTACCCCATCCCTTCCACTCTCTCTAAAAATCAATGGAAAAAATTTCTCAGGTAAGGATTAACAAAAAATAAAAAGGATCACTTTGTCAGCTCTATTGAAAAATGGGAAAGATATTGACAGAGGAGGGCAGAGCACAAAAGAGGCTATCCTATCTAATAAAAGAGAAACATGGCAATTAGCCGTACCTCCACTACCCTTCCAATTGGCTAATCAGGACAATATGGAAATTAACTGCCAGCCAAGATGGCGGCAGGCAGCCAGGCAGCTTGAAGCGAACATGAGGCTTGCTTGCTTCAGTGACTGCCGACTCCAACGTTCCCTGCCTGCTGCTGTAGGCCTCTGAGCCGGCAGTTTCAAACATAGTAACAAATATAGAAGCTAAAAAAAAACCCAGAAACCTGCTTTCAGAGAGCGGGATCTCAGACTGGAGTTGATACAGAGTTTCGATTATAGAACCGAAACAAACCAGATACCTGCTTTCAGGAGCGGAGGCCTCAGAGCTGGAGCCAAGACTCAGAGCTAAAGCTGGCCCAGAATAAAAAAGAAAAAGAAAAGACGGGGGGCAGCAACCAAACCCCCTGATCGCCCTGTGGCTCTGTGTGTGACCGGGGGCGGGGCCACAACCTCCCTATCTGCCCTGCTCTGTTCCTGACAGGGGAAGGCGCCCCAACCCCCTGATCAGCCCTGCTCTGTGCCTGATATGGGGGAGCTCCCCAACCCCCTGATCGCCCTGCGGCTATGTGTGTGACAGAGTGCAACACCCCAATCCCCTGATTGGCCCTGCTCTGTGTGTGACAGGGTGCAGCGCCCCAACCCCCCACGCACGGGCCATGCTCAGTGTGTGACGGGGTAGAGCCATTAACCTCCCCATCGGCCCTGCCCTGAGTGTAACCGTTGCGGTGTCCCAAGCCCCTGATCCGCCCTGCTCTGTGTGTGATGGGGGGCGGTGCCCCAACCCGCCTGATAGGCCCTGCTCTGTGAGTGACAGGGGGGAGCTCCTCAACTCCCTGATCAGCCCTGCTCTGTGTGTGACAGGGTACAGAGCCCCAACCCCCCTGATGGACCCTGCTCTGTGCGTGACAGGGTT